GAGACAGAAAGCAAGAAATCACCCCCCAGGGGGGATGGTCACGCCGCAATCCCTTCTCCTCCATTCTCCTCTCGGGATCTTGGGCACGCACGCACACGCGCCCGGCGTGAGTTTTAAGCCACCGGGTCCGGGACATGAACCGCGGTCGACTACGTGGGAGTCCAGCGACATAGCCATTACGCTAACTGCTGGTTCCTTAATTTTTTTTTTTAAGAGAGATTTTTGCCATAACACGTGTGTGCTCACCAGAAAGAGAGAGAAAGTGAGAAATCACCTCCCAGGGGAAAGTACACAGTGCAATTCCTTCTCCATTCTCCTATGGGGATTTTGGGCAAGCGAGCACGCACACGTGCCCGGTGTGAGTCAAGCCTCCCGGTCTGGGACTCAAACTACAGTCAACAATGTGGGAGTCCAGGGACATAACCATTACATCACCTGCTGATCCCAGAGTGCCTTAATGTAACAGCACTCAAATACTTGTTAGTTTGATTTGCTATTAACAAAAAAAGATAATACTGCACTTTGAATTTAACAGAGTCCATGTAAATATACCCACTGGCACTTTAGGTTCTCAGTAATGGAATTATTCTAACTCAGAGAGCAGCAAGTTTACTCTAAAAGTAGGCAATATTTTAAATCAAAAATTAAATTCAATCTCCTCCCATCTCCAAAAGCATCCTGAAATTTAATGTGAGAGTTAGATCTTTGTCGTTTTCAAATAGAAGAGTTCTTACCTTTCTATTCGAATTTCGAGTGCGGTTCCTGTTTTGGAATTTTCAGGCACATGTTCAATTCTCAAGACGGTGTCTATAAAAGTGACTTTTACTCTTCTTAGTACTAGAGCAAGTAAGTAATTGTCAGTGTAAGAGGTCACACATGTACTAAACAAAAGGAACTAAACTACTGAAAGGAACAAACACTAGTTTGATTTTTAAAAATGTACAAAATAAAAATCTGAATTTCCTTTAAAATCCCAAAATCCTGAATTCTATTAAAAAACACAACAAAACAAACCTTCCCTGGAGTCAGCTAGTACCATGGTGGTGAAGATGTCTGGATCTCATATGACTAACTGCATGATTCGAGTCTCAGATCCAGGGACTTGAAAAACATGACCAGTGTGTGTGTGCGCGCCTGCCCAAAATCCCAAGAGAAGAATGGAGAATAAGGGACTGCAATCTGGCCATTCACCCTGGTGGATGATTTCGCACCTTCCCCGTCTCTCTCTCTCTGGTGAGCACACACACACACTAGCCAAATGAAGAAAAAATACTGCCTTCCTGAGCACTTGCGCATGTCACATCCCAATTAACACCTGGGACAACACTAACACCAACTGTGCCATTCTAAGCTCTTCACTATGCAAGCATAATAAAATAAAGGAGAAACCGGAGTACAGAACAAGCAATTACACTGTATATATTTTAAACATCTCAATTCTAAAGTTCTTAAATTGAACAGTAATTCTTTCAAAATCATTCCAACAAACTGGCCTTATATGAAGTTGATGAAATAAAGGTACTAAATTCTAATAAAATCTAAAATTTGAAAATGCTCAATGATATCAAACCTGTTTCGATAGTTTCAGCAAACTTTTCAAGTCCTTCGAAAGGTTGGGATCCTTCTCCCTGTTCATCTGTTAGTTTCTGGCTAAGACACTCTTTTGCCAACTGCATACTGCTCGTCATGAAACTTGACCAGTACATAGGCTCAGAACCAGTTGCTGTAGAAAATATAGATTAATCCTAAACAATTTTGCAGTTACAACAATGACATTGCTTAAAGTAACACATTTCAAATAGAAAACAAAATCTCATAGGGATTAAGGATTTAACATCATGGTGTTACCCATGGAAATGATACTCTAGAAATTACTCCTGAGATTTAAAAATCACATTATGGACCAGCCTAGTGGCATGGTGGTTAAGGCAACCTGGATCCCACATGGCTAATTGGCAGTTCAAGTCCCAGACCCAGTGGCTTAAAAAACACAGTGAGGAGGGAACCAGTAGTTAGTGTAATGGCTATGTCGCTGGACTCCCACGTAGTCGACCGCGGTTCGCGTCCCGGACCCGGAGGCTTAAAACTCACTCCGGGCGCCTGTGCGTGCATGCCCAAGATCCCAGGAGGAGAATGGAGGAGAAGGGATTGCAGCATGACCATCCCCCCTGGGGAGTGATTTCTCGCTTTCTGTCTCTGTCTCTGTCTGTCTGGCGAGCTCACGTGCCCTATAGCGAAAACCTCTCCAAAAAAAAAGAAAAAAAAAAAATAACACAGTGAGGGGACCAGCTTGGCTATGTCGCTGGACTCCCATGTAGGTTCGAGTCCCAGATCCGGTGGCTTAAACTCACGCCAGGCGCGTGTGCGTGTGTGCCCAAGATCCTGAGAGGAGAATGGAGGAGAAAGGATTGTGGCCATCCCTCCTGGGGGGTGATTTCTCGCTTTCTGTCTGTCTGTCTGTCTCTCTCCCTCCCTCTCTCTCTCTCTGGCAAGTGCATGCACTCTGTAGCAAAAATCTCTCCAAAAAAAGAAAAAAAAAAA